GTGCTTGCCTGGTGTGCTCATTCCATGCAGAGCACTGTGAGGATATCTGCTCTCCAGGATGGTGGGGTAAAAGGTGCTGAGCTCAGTGTCCTTGCAAGAGCCTCTCAGAGGGAGGAGGTGCAGCCTCTGGACCTGGTGGCTATAGCAGTACTTGATGTCAAGACTGCTCCTGGGACAAGGCTGGCCCACAGCTTCTGTTCCAAAGTACTGAATACTTGCAGGTTTTTGGGGAGAGGGGTCACTTGCTTCTGTGGAGGCTCAGATATCAATGAATCAGAAGCTAAAAGCAATAGCAAGATGTCAGTCTGTTGCTGCATCAGTGAAAGGCTGTTCTACAGCCTGCTGGTCAGCAAGCAGAGGGCATTGTGGAAGTGATACCACTGCCCTGAGCAAGTACTGAGCAGAGCATCCTGCTGGTCACTGGAAGCTGTCAGGGATGAGATACAAGAGCTCCATTCCCTTCCCAGTGCTCTGGAGTTTTGCCACTTGAGTCTTTGCTCCTTAGCAGCACAGGGAGATGGGATGTGGTGGAGATAACAAGTAACCTTTGGTGGGGGATGAAAAAAGTCTTGACTGGAAAAGCATTCTTGGCTAACTTCAGGACCTTCTTTCTTGCAGGAAGGTGACGAGTATGCCTTTTTGGGCACTACTGAGGACACTCTGGCTAACCTGAAAAGGAAGACTGACAACTTGTATTCTCTCATGCGTACTGCTGCAGAAGTTGCTGGACAAATAGCTCTCAGGCTGACCCATGACCATGAGCTCTTCCTGGACATTGATCGATACAGTGACGAATTGCTGTCGTTCCAGGAGAAGCTTTGGCACGTCAACGCCAATGTGAAGGTTAGAAGGACTCTGAGTTCACCAAATCCCTGATGATTATGGGGTCATGTGCTAATAAGGCCCTGTGCCAGTAGATACAGCAGGATGGACACCTTTCCCCTTTAGACATAAAAGGGTAGCGAAGTGTGACCAGAATCAATGTTCCTTGTAGAGCAGTGCAGGCAGAGTAGCTGTGGCAGACAGATTTTGCTGATCTGGATGCCATGAGCTCCTGAGGAAATGGATGTGAACAGTTTATTCTCCAGTTATCATTCACAGCATAGTGCAGCTTTCCATCTCATTTGCACCTCTGCTGAAAATCTACAAGAAACTGCGGGTAGGGAGTGACCTCAGAAGAGCCTGCCAGGAACTTGTTCTGCTACTTGGCTAAACTGCCAAAAAAAAAAAAAAGCCCAACACTTTCTTTTGGTAAGAGAGCAGCAAAAGAAGAAAATCAGGTTTGCTAACAGCTCCTCCCTTGCAGGAACTGGGGCTGACCTTGAACTGGCTGTATTTTGCCCGTGGAGACTTCCAGCGAGCTGCAGATGCTCTGAGAAGAGACATCGAAAACAGTGACAGGGAAAACAGGATTGTCCGCAGAGCCCTGAATGACAGGATGATGAAGGTGGGTATCTTCAACTGGTTTTTCTTCCTTCGCAAAGGAAGAGAGTGCTGGCTGGGAAGGGCCTTTCCCTAAGGGGCCGTGGGCACTGTGCAGACTGGTGTCTCTTCCACTTGCTCAGTGGCAACACGATGGCTTGCTCATGAGAGAGGGTCTGGCCCTTGCAGAGCTGCTCTGGGAAAGGGCTGAGTGGGGATCAGAGGTTGGCAGCTTGTGTTGGGGCAGATCATGAAAGAAAAACTTGGGAGGTGATATAACCCTCTATTTGCACCTCTACTCAGGTGGAACACGACTTCCTCTCTCCATACCTCTCACCAAAAGATACTCCCTTCCGCCACATCTTCTTCGGCAGAGGCAAACACACCCTGAAGAGTCTGCTGGAGAACCTGGAGCAGCTGGCAGTCAACAAGACCAGCGTGGATTTGAATGAGCTGAAAGAGCAGCTGGCCCTGGCCACCTGGACCATTAAAGGGGCTGCCAATGCTTTAGTGGGCGATATCTGGAATACAGACAACGAAATCTAGACGTGGCAAACACCTGGATTACCCGTCTAAGGTACAGGAGAGCTGTGTGCCCTCACAGGGAGCACAGCTTCCTTCCTGGCCCTGGTCCCAGCAGAGGGCCTTGCTGTGTAGATCTAGTTCCACCTATAGCAACACACACAAACTCCCTGTACCTCAGATTAGGTATTGGCATGATTTTTAAATGGCAGCTTCTTGAAGATTTCCAGTACCTTATATGTCGTAAAACCTAACCAAACCCCCTGAAACCTAAGTGAAACCCACTCCCTAACATGGCATTACTTTCCTGTAGATATTCTGGCAACAAAACGTTTTTGACCAAAGTTGAGCATAAAATTTAAATCTCACCTTGACAAATTCACAGGAGACAGTTTTAAAGCAGTACTAAGATTACCAGGAAGTCTCCTCTGACCAGGCTCACCTCAGTCCAAACCAGTCATGTACAGCTGCTCCAGTGTACTTAAAAACTAAGAGCTCAGGTGTTTCCTGAACTGGTACCTTGAGTGGGGAGGTACCTCATCTATTCAGGCTTTTAATTGTTGGCCACCTAAACCTAGTGACAAAATAGGGAATGGATTCCTCTGAACATTTGTAACAAGGATCCCTTCTCCGGCAGGGAGGTGCAGTTCAAAAGTTAAACAATGTAGTAATAGCCTGCAAGTGCTGGATTATCAGCAAGCTGTGAAGTGCCTGCCTGCCTTTACTCAACAGCAGGGTCCCAGTGACATCTTGCAGGCTTGCTTCTGCCAAGGCAGGTATCAATACCCAGGGAAAATGACCCAAAGATAATCCAATGTCCCCTTGATATCCTCGGCTGGCACCTCAGCAAATCCTGCAGCAGAAATGTCTTTAGAGTGGCACTTCAGACCTTGCTGCTTCAGGGGCCTTGTGTGAAATCGAGTCTCTTGCTGGCCAAACTCTGTTTGACTGATGTCATTTTGCAGGTTGGCTCTTGTTTGGCACTGAGATATTTATTTCTTTATTTATTTATCAGTGACAGTGTTCACTATAAATGGTGTGTTTTTTTTATAGAAGATAATTATCGGAAGCAGTGCCTTCCATAATTATGACAGTTATACTGTCGTTTTTGAATAAAGCAGCATCTGCTATTACAATCAAACGTGATACTGGAACTTTGCATTTAAAATAATCAAAACAAGAACCTCAAAAAATTTTGGAAAACTAGCAATTAAGCTTTCTGTGGCAAAAACACCCCTCTGGAAGCAACTTGAAGGTGCAAACCTGGTAGTGAGTCTCCAGGTTACGCTCCAAAGTAATCCTTGAAATGCTGAAAACCTGGGTGGAAATTCCAGTACTAGAAATTTGTCTTCCTTGCAGGGTCTGTGCCCCTCTGTGGGCTTCAGACTTTTCCTGCTCCCCTTTCTGGATGCCGTGTGCTCTCACAGGGAGCACAGCTTCCTTCCTGGCCCTGATCCCAGCAGAGGGCCTTGCTGTGTAGCCCTAGTTCCACCTGTGGCAACACACAGAAACTCCCTGTACATCAGATTAGGCATTGGCACGATTTTTAAATGGCAGCTTCCTGCAAACTTCCAGTACCTTATGTATCATGAAACCTAACTGACATTATCGGGGGCAGTGTCTCCCATAATGTGTAAAGAACAAGGTAGTTTTTGCCTACCACAGTGTTATATCGGAGGCAGTGACCTCCATATGTTGCACTATGGGTGTACGTAATTATCGGGGACAGTGTTTCCCATAATTGTTCTATGCTTATCACGCAATGTCATCTGCGAAGCTTGATGGTTAGTATCTAACATGGATTAATTTCCTGCAGTCCTATTTTTTCACTCTCCTGTGGTGATGCAGATACAATCTTCAGTCTGTTGTGTACATCCTTAGACACTTCCTTCTCCATAGGCTGAACTGTTTCAAATAGCTGTGCTGTCTTGAATTGGCTTCCTGCCTTCAGTCACGAGAGTGGCGCTTGAGTGTTTAGTGGAAACTAGGCAAGGTAGACTGTGTGCTCTGTGGTGTTGTAAACTTCCTTCAAATTAGTTACAAAGACCTGAGGAATTAAAGGTGAATGTAGGGCTTGGGGCTGACAGCTGTCTGGAGGGCTCTGGTCACTGCTCTGCATGGGTACATGTAGCACTTTGAGAGGCTGGCTTGCTGTGGCACTGGGAGGGTGTTGGTGTGTGTTCATGGGCTGCTCACTCTCCAGTTCCGGCTGGAAATTGCAGTCTTGCCCCCTTGGGTGTTGAATGGAGAGAGGAAAATCAGTGTCAGCTCTCTAATGGTGCCGCTCTGCTGTGTGACCTGAAGCTGAGCACTGCTGATGTGTGACACCTGCTAAACTGTGCTGCCTGTTCCCAGGGGCTGTTGCCTGTACTTTGCAGTTTGATTTGGCGTTTAAACCTAACCCGCAGCTTAGTTTTAACCTAAACTCTGCAGTTTGATCTGGCATTTAAACCTAACCTGAGCAAGTGACCTGAGCAGTAGTCCTTGAGGGAAAGAACACTGTTCAGCTGGAGCTCTGCAAGGAAAGGGCAGGGACTGGCCCCCAGCCTAGTTACTGAGCTCAGTGCTCACCAGCTTGGAGGGCTGGATTTTCATCGGTCTCTAGAAACCTGATGCCCAGGCTTGTGCAACTTGTTGCTCTTCCTTAACTTCTCTTAACTCTCTAACTTCCTTACAGCCCTGTCTGTGTTAGTGTTTTCTCTGACATTCTAGTTTCTAGTGACATTTCTCTGGATGGCATCTAAGAGCTGCTGTCTGGGAGTCCTCACTGTGGTGTTTGCATGCATCTTGATGTCAAACTTAATTTTGTGCTTTATAGCCAGCAGAGAGAGACAAAAGACAAAGCTTGTCTCCTGGATAGACAGCACAGCTGTGACTACTGGGATGCCTTGCTCAGTGCTGGCATCTGACTGCTGTGGGGTGCTAAACTGTTTCTGGATTTGCCTGCTGTTTGCTTGAATAAAGTATTTTTGAAGCTTGAACACTCAGTTTGTCTTGTGAGGTTCTGGATTACCTGCTGTCTGCTTTAATAAAGATGTTGAAGTTTGAACACTCACCTTCTCTCGTGCCTTCTTGCAAAGCCATGATGCTGTTGTGGCATTGTGGCCGTGGGTGAGTTTGGGCAGCTGGAGGGAGGCTGCTGTCCTGTTCCATCAGGGCTGCTACGTAGCAGCTCCAGTATCACTTCGTTGATGTGCAGTAGCAAATCTGAACTTCACAGTGCTGCTCAGCTGAGTCCTGCCTTATCACAGACAACTGCAGGCTCTGGTAACGAGGTGGAGGAGCACAACTGTATGCAAGCCCCCAGACCTCCCCCTCCTTTCATGTCCTACTTCCTGCCTCTCCATCACAGACTCTGAAAAGCCTGTGATGTATGGGTGAATGATGGGGGAAGGATGAAATGTCAGGTTTCCCCCTGGCCATGGCCTTGCAGGTCTCTGCTGTTGACAAGGTGGCTGGAGGAGCCTGTGTGTGGCTGTGTCCCAGGAAGCCAGCACTTGCCCCTGCCTTTTTCCTGCCCCTCATCATCCTGGAGGTCCTGTGGGCCAAGGCAGAGCTGCAAGTGTGGGTACTGCTGTGGGTACTACTGTGGGGCAGCTCTGGGAGGGCAGGAGCAGCCTCCTCAGACCCAGAGGCCTGCTCAAGTGAGACTGCACGGTTTGGGGGCTCTGCATTAAAATAAGTTCCGTTTCTCTCTGCTGTCCTCCCCCGTCCTTCATGCCCGTCTCACCTTCTGCTTTACAAACACCACATCCATAGAAGTCGCACTATGAGCGACAGCTTCTCCAGGATCCCAGCTCGCGCTTTATGGGCTGTCCCGGCATAGCTCTGGTCCCTCCTCTTCCCCCGGGGATGATTTACTTGTTGGAAGGACGTCGTTTCCCGCAGCTCCTGCCCGCGCCTGGCAGGGCTCTCTCCCTGCGGTAACTCTGCGAAGTGTCCCGAGAGGCCGGGCCGGGGCAGCGGGAGCCCTGCTGCGGCCGGGCAGCGCCAGCCCCGCGGGGCAGAGGGAGCGGGGAACAGCCCCTTCCCGCTCACCTGGGAGCAGGGATTTTGGCAGCGCAGGGCAGCCCGCGTCCCCGGTGCAGCGGGTTGGTCCCGGGGCCTGGCGCTGCTCCGCGGTGAGTCTGCCTGTCCGTGCGTCCATCCCCGTGCTCATCCATCCATCCATCCATCCGCTTGTCCGTCTGTCCGTCCTCACCCCCGCCGTTACGTAAAGCGGCGGGGCGGCGCCTTTAAGAGCGGGGCCGGGGGCGGGTCGGGGGCCGTCCGGGCTCCCGGCGGCGGCGGCAGGAGGAGGCGGGGGGGCAGAGGGGAGGAAAGGGTGGCGGAGCCGGAGCTCCAGGGGCGCGGCGCGGGGGGGCTTCCCCAGCGTGCGGGGCCGGGGTGGGGCCCGCACCGCGTGCACCATCCGGGGGCAGGGGGCGAGCGGGGCGCCGGGGGTGCCGGAGGGTGGGGGGTTGAGCCCGGCGGTGCCGGAGGGCGGCGGGGTGGCCCCGGGGGTGCAGGAGCAGGGCGGCTTCACTCGCGGCGTGCAGGAGGCGGGGCTGGGGGCGCTGCCCCGCGGCCAGGAGCTGGTGGCCGGCGGCGGGGAACCGAGGGGCGGCGGGGGGCCGGCCCGGTGGCACTGGGTGCCGCTGGGCGAGCGGACGAGCCTGCAGGAGTGGGGCGAGCGGCCCGGGCCCGTCACCGCCCTCGGCAGCCCCAAGCCGGA